GTAGCTTTATTGATATCATTAACTGAGGTTCAAAGAGGTAAAGAATGTATTTATTATTATATGGCAGGGTATTGTTCAAACTGGCATATGATCTCCTAATCTATACTTGCACCACATTGTCCAGAAGTGAAAATGCGGTTCTGGACTATTGTTTTTCTATATTTTTTTTGTTTTAATGTTTCATTTTCATCTGTTGGTGAAATATAAAGATAATTGCAAAAAAAAAAAAGGCAAAAGTACAGATATTTGGAATCACCATACTTGAAATGAGTTTGTAAGATTAATCCTCTTTGATAGTAAAAACTTTTTTATTAATGCTTTACAAGAGTGCAGGGAGGAGGAAGCAAAAGTAAGTGCAACGATTTCCACATCAATGTGTGAAGTTAAGAGGAAAGCTAAAAATGCCCTTCAGTCAGTTCTGTTCAGTAATTGTGTACTGAGAACACACCTTGAGTACTGCAGCCAAGACAGAAATAAATAAGACAGGCAGGATATAGGCTTTATTATAAGAAATAAAAGTCAGTAACATAAGTGAGTTAAAAAACACAATATGTAAGGGAAAGCTCTACTAATATGGAGTTAACTAGAACTGAGCTAATTCTAATAGATTTCTCTCACTGCTTCTTCATGGGAGAAACATTTACTATCTGTTTTAAATTTGAAAATTATTTTGCATAAGCCCACAAAGTGCATTTTATTTTCCAGTCAGATTTCTTTGAGCAACATGGTCTGGCTTTTCATATATAATTGAATTTTAGAGATAAAATGATCCGTAGTTATAAAATACTTTCCCAGAGAAGAGAGGATTCCCACTTAACAAAGCTGGGAAGAGCAGGCCAGGGAGCTCACATGTGAGAACAGACAAGAATGGAACAGGGAGGATCCCCAGCACTTAGGGCCTACTCCTTGTCTAGACTAGTCTTCCACCTATTCCAGAAGGGCATGAAACAAAACCCACCCAGTAAATGTGGACCTTTGAAAGATAAATATAATGGACCGTAGAGAAAACTTTAGAATAGTATCTATTGGGCCTCCCTTTTGACACAGGGCTGAAAGTCTCAGTGCTATCAAGCTACCCTGCCACTAAAGCATGAGTTTGATCCCCAGCTAGGGAGGTGACCCACATGGCTCAGCAGACTTCTCCTATCTCACTGCGGCACCCCTCAGCAGTGTATTTCAGTACATCTGCCTGTTCTGCTCCCCACTGTCTCTGGTGAATCCTCTCACCCCCTGCACACTCTGGCCTACACCCCAGTTCTTGTAGGCATAAAAAAATAACAGAACACCCAAGGGGATTGCAACTGAGATGGAAAAATGCACAGAATGATATAAAAATAAACATAT